AGATATAGAAAGATATACCATGCTAACACTAATCAAAAGAAAGCTGAAGTAGTCATATTAATTGCAGGCAAAGTAGACTTCAGAGCACGGAAAATTATCAGGGATAAAGAGGGGAATTACATAATGATAAAAGAGTCACTTCTCCAGGAAGGCATAAAACTTCTTAACATGTATGTGCTTAAAAACAGAGCATCAAAATACATGAGGCAAAAACTGATAGAACAGCAAGGAGAAATAGATGAATCCACTATTATAGTTGGAGGCTTCAACATGCCTCTATCAGTAATAGATGGATCCGGCAGGCTGAAAATCGGTAAGGACACAGCTGAACTCAACACCACCAACAACCTACTCGATATAATTGACATGTATAGACTGCTTCATCCAACAAAAGCAGAATGGAGCAAGCTCACATGGAACATTCACCAAGATAGACCACATTCTGGGCCATAAAGCGTACCTTAACACATTTGAAAGAATAAATCTCATATAAACTATGCTCTCAGGCCACAGGGAATTAAATTAGAAAAGATAACAGAAGAATAGCTGGTAAATCACAAAATATTTGAGATTAAACAATAGGCTTCTCAATATCACATAGTCAAAGAGGAAGTCTCAAGAAAAATTAAAATATTTGGAACTAAATAAAAATGTAAACACAACCTGTCAAAATGTGTGGGATACAATGAAAGCAGTGATTAGAGGGAAATTTATAGCACTGAATGCATATATTAGAAAAGAAGAAAGATCTAAAATCAATAATGTAGTTTGCCACCTTAGGAAACTAGAAAAAGAAGTGGTATATCTGGGATCAGGGCCCAAGCAAGCTGCATGAGGAGGAGATCCCTCACGTCATCCGTCATGCAGCACCAAAATCTCTCCCTCAGCTCATACCTGTGCCCACATGGGGGAAAGGGGTCCTTTATGATCAGCTGTTGGAGGAGCAAAAAGGCTGAACTTGGTTCAAGGATAGGTCAGCTTGGTATAATGAACTACAGATGCATTACATCACCACTCAAAGGTGGACCAGAAAGATAACAGTGAGAGGGGAAAATCCTGCCAATGGGCTGAATTTCTGGTAGGGCACTTGGTCATCCATTTTGTATGAAAAAGGAAGTGGCCTGGGATTAGAACATACGTGGATTCAGACAGTGATGACCAATCATTTGACTGATGACCAACCAGGGCCCTGGAAAAGGAAGCATCAGGAATAAAAAGTTCCGGAGAAAAGGCACATAGATGTATTTATGGCAATGGGTAGGAAATGTAAGGATCTTTGTAATTCACATTAACACCTATCAGAGAGTGCCTATCATAGAAGAGACATCTACCAACCAAGAAGACAGAATGACTTGGCCAGTTGACATCAGTCTGGCTCTGTCACTGGCCACCGCAGTGCTGGCACAATAAGCACATGGATGGAGTAGACATTGTGGCAGAGGTGGAGGCTATGCATAAGCCCAACAGCGTAGGCTCCCAGTCACCAAGGATGATACAGCTACTGCTGCTGCCAAATGCAGAACAACACTGTCTCAAAGAGATCAACTGGCCTCTTGGTGTCGAGTAGTCTAATTGGATCCGTTTTATCTTGGAAAGACCAGTGACTCATCATGATTGGACTTGACACATATTTCGGTCATGGATTTGCCTTTCCTGCTTGCAGAACTTCAGCCAGTACCAGATCTGAGTATTTATTCTACTGACATAGGATCCCACATAATATAACATTGGACCAAGGGACCTACTTTACAGGAAAGGAGGTGCAGCAGTGGGGATATGGCCACAGAATCTACTTGTCCTATAACACAAAGAATCATTCAGCCTGCTGGACTAATGGAGGAGCCTGTTGAAGATGCCTCTGAGGGGCCAGCTTGGAAATGATAACCAGTGAGGATGTGGTGCCATCCTCCAGGATGCAGCATACATTCTAAATCAATGACCATTATATGGTGTGCTATCTCTTAAGCAGAATACATGGGTCCAGCAAACCAAGGGTGGAAGTAGTTCTTACCTTAACTCTCAGTCATCTGCTCTTTAATTTGTGCTTTTCATACCCACAGCTTTGGACCACGTGCATTTAGAGACCTTGGCTCCCAGAGGCCACCAGTGAGCACAGCAAGAGAGATATTAAATTTCAAACTACGTGTGGCACCCAATCGCAGTGGGTTCCTCACGCTGAGAGAGCAAGAGTCAAGTAAAGGAATCACCACCTGTGAGTAACTGACTCTGGTCATCAGGAGGAGGGAGAGACGCAGGAAGAATGTGGAAAGAGTATGTTTGGCACCCAGGTAATTCACTTGAATTTCTTTCGGTGCTCTTTCACTCAGTTTTGAGGGTAAAGGGATAAGTGCAGCAGCCACAGCCTGACAGGGACATGGTGACTGGGGACTCAGACTTCTCAAGAATGAGGATCTGGGTCATCCCACCAGGTAAGTCTCCTATATCAACAAAGGTGCTGAGGGGGAGGGGAATCTCTATGGGATAGTGGAGGGAGCTAACTATTATTTGTGGCCTCAAGACCAGCTACTGTGGCAGAGGTTGTAGTTTGTCCCTCTATTTTTTCTAAGTTTCCCTCAGGAAGAGAGATCCATCAGAATCCTGAATTAACTCTCCCAGAACTTATGTAAAGCCAGTAGATCTAAGGGGTAAGGGGTGGACTGTAGCGGAAGCTGTGGGGCACTGCCCAGATCTCCCCTCTGGCCCCGCACTTCAGAACTGAAGTCCTCATCCCCCCCAAGTGCTAGGAGTGTTGACAGCTAACAGTTTGCAACTGAGTTCTCCCTCCCAATGATCACCCTTGGCTGAGGAGGGCCACCTTGCTTGAGGTCACATCCCCTTCCTGGGGACAGCTCATGTCCAGTGACTGTCAACAAAAAATTTTAAAGCCTCAACTTCCTTGTGCCAGTTTGGGATGTCTCTGCAGGATCATCCTTGCCCAGAGCTCCCCATGGGGTCAGCTGAGGTCTTTGTTGTGACTACATCACAGCCCAGCTTCTCCCCCTGCCCAGTCCTGGTTTCTTCTTTCCTCTACCCCTAGGATCTAGAGAACATACTCAAATAAACTTCCTGCACACAAATCCCAGACTCAGAGTTAGCTTTCCATGGAAACCAACCTCTAACAATCTAAAGAGTTGGACCTGTCCCTTCCTATATCTTCTTAAACATAACTGAGATGTCTTTTTTAAAAAAATCCCTTTATTGTCCTCTGCTCATTTGGGGCATTCGCCTTCTTGACATTAATACAACCTTGATGCTGTCATATTTTCATCCTTGGCCCTATGCTCTGTTTTTCATCTGTTATGTTTATCATTAGAAAGCAAGGGCTTATCAATCAAGTCTCTACACAGTCACGTGGTTTCTTTGGTACGCTTCCTGCTTCTTTATTGGGACCATGTGCCCAGTGAAAGTTACTTTTTTAGTTCTTCCTAACCTTTATGGCTGTGTTTCCTCATCTGCAAAAAGGTATCAGTGAATTTTCTTTGAATTTTTTGTGTTCTACTTTTGTAAAGACTAGGATACATGTCTGACCCAGCCAGATATGTATGATAAACTGCTCTTAAATTCATATGTCAGTCTCAGCCTGCTCTAGTCATTCACCCCGGCCCCTATACTCTCTGTCCCCCAGAGTATGAGGCAATTGAGAAGCAAGACGAATAGTGCATTGAGAGGTTCTTCCTTAGCAGTGAATGGGGTTCAGAAATATTCTGGAGCTCCCTCCCCCTGTGTGGGGCAGATGTGCCCTCAGGGCAACCCTTTGAGTACTGGGTTACAGCCTCTACAGTTGACTCTACACTCTTCTCTTCGGGCAGCCTGACTGCTGGGCTTCAGCCTAGGTTCCCGGTTTTCACTTCTTTCTTTGCTGGGACAGGGGCCAATACTGGACCTAGTCCAGTTGACTGAGTTGACCCTTTCTTCTAGTTTCTGCCAACTTTCTTTGTTTTTGGTATTTCTACTTCGATCCATATGTAGATCCTTGGGCCAAGACTCTGGTCAACTGGATGCCAGGAACACTTGCTTCCCAGAATGCCACACTCCTCCCCTTGCCCTCAGATCAGGCTCTTCACACTGATGCCGGCCCAAGTTATACCTGTGACCCCTACAACTGCCCCTGAATCCACACTAAGACTTTGAACCTGAATTGTTAGCATTTGTAGCCCTGGTGAGTTCCCCTGACCTGTGCCAGCCACCTCAGCAAAATCCTTCTCACTGTGAATGCCTACATACCCATCACTTCAGCTAGTACCGCTGCTTTGACGAATTAGTCCCTGTTAATGAGAATTAAGCCCAGAGCAGCAGTTCCTCTGATTAGATCCACCACCCTCTAAAGGGAAAAATTGCTGCCAAAGCAAGTGAAAAGTTTTCCAGCATTCCAGCATTTATCTTAATGGGACTTTGTATGAAGATTTAATTTATGTTTCGTTGTGACCAAAATATCTTGCCTGTTTAATAGTTTTGTTGCCTATTCTCAAAACATTAATCTAGGCCTCCATCTCAGCAGATAGATTATGTTATTGTCCCACAATTATATTACTTAAAATTTTCTCTAACTTCAGATGTGTAGATATTCAAAAGAGTAGGTATCTTATTTCAAAACAAGAAAGGCTTAATTTATAACAGAGAACAAGTAGTATTAACATACACAAGCCATAGTAAAATAATTTCCTGACATTCTAAAATAGAGAAGTACTTACACGCTAGACACTCTGGCATCAACTGTATACCACAGGAGGAGAATCAAGTACCAAGAACTAAGATGTTCTAAGAATTAGCGGGTAGATACTGGCTTGTAATAAAGCAGTAATAAAATGACTAAGGTTACAGTATAGTAGTCTAATAACTAAAATGCTTGATCAATCTAAGGATAGATAAGTAGCTTAAAATGTATTATAGATTTTTTTTTACAATTTCCTGAACTAAGATCTTACATTTGTAAATATTTAGTCAACATCATTAGTTAGCTTAATCCCCCTTTACTTAAGTAAATAATACTTTGGTTGGGCCAATATTAAATTTCACTTTTATTCTGTAGCCCAAGTGTACATTCTGGCACAGTAAATAATTAACACACACACAGAATCATTTGCATGTGATGAAGTCAGAGAATAGTCTAAGTTGCACAATTTACCATCAACCAAAGGCAAGCCTATCAGTTAGAACAGTATCTTTCCTGAGCCAAATAAGTGGCTGCATTGTTTTCCTTCAAATCAGTATTCAGTTAAGTGAAAAGCAATGGCTAGGATGACGGGCTGGCCCATTCCACCTCATCATGCTAGAACAAGGAGTTGAATTTAAGGAATAACGTATGAAGTGAAATAATTTAACACCACCAAAGAGGTGACAAGAGAACCACATTGCTATTTGTCCCGAGAAGCCATCCTGCGTTCAGTTTAATGGATGTCCACCAAGACAAGGCAAACGGTGGGTGGACCAAAGCTTCGGGGCCCTTTCTTCAACCTCAAGTACTCTGGGTCTGCTTTTGAGAACGAAAAACCAAAACTCATGTTAAAAGCATCTTTAAAAGTCTATAATATAATTCCAAAGATTTGTAAATAGAAGTAACTAGACAAACTGGGGATAAGAGGACTGATACTGCTGTTCTCCCACTCAACGTTTCACAAAACAGAGGCAGGAAACCCAGCAAGTCACTCAGCTTCTCTGCACATGCCTGCGGGAGAAACCGGCTTTAATATAGGTTGGTCTTTTTCATGATCCGGAGAAACTCTTCCTGGTTCACTTCCCCGTCTCCATCGCGGTCGGCTTCGTCAATCATTTCCTGCAGCTCCTCATCAGTGAGGTTTTCCCCCAACTCGTTGGCCACGCGCTTTAGGTTTTTGAAAGAGATCTTCCCAGTTTCATCATCATCAAAGAGCCTGAAAGCCTTCAGGATTTCTTCTTTGGTGTCTTTCTCGGCCATCTTCTGAGTCATCACGGCCAGGAAGTCATTGAAGCTGATTTTCCCCGTGCCTTCTTTGTCCACTTCGGAGATCATCTTCTTCATCTCCTCCTTCCTGGGTTCAAAGCCCAACGCTCTCATGGCCACCTTCAGCTCCTTCACGTCGATGGTCCCGCTTCCGTTGGCATCGAAGAGGTCAAACGCTTCTCGAACTTCTTGCTTCTGATCTTCAGTGAGTTCAGGCTTAGGACCCACCTTTCTTTTCTGGCTGGTAGAGGCAGAATTTGTCTTCTTAAAGCTGGAAGCCATCCTCCTGAGGCGGTTATGACCTTAACAGAGCCACCGCGGTCACCGCGCTCGCGCTGGAGCGCCCCCACCTGGAGCGCGGGTGCGGGGCCTCCCCTCATTCATTCCCAAACCGTTGCTTGGGTCTCCCGGTGAGACCCTGCTCACTAAACTGCCATGTCTGTGAGATCTTATTTATGGTATAATCCACAGTTCCCTCGGTTATTACCCAGTTTCCACGTGTTGAGACTTCAGCTGGCAAGAACTCGCTGCAGCCACTGTTGTCTTCCGTAATGCACTGGCACTTGCTGTTCTTTCCAGACCGTTTGTCAGCATCCATAGGTCCAGGTGTATAGGGTTATTTGGAGGCTCCTCCTCTCTCCTTTTCCATACTAATTGAAAAACCTTTCTTGGTCTGAGGTTACCTAAAGGTAAATTTATGATAATCAAGATTGAGTTTGATCCCTTGGCATTAAATGTGGGGAAGAAAGAGGAGAGAATATTAAAAGTCACACCATGTGTTCAACTTGACATAAATGGAAAACAGATAAAATGGAAAAACTTATGTATAAAATTTGTAGAAGTTTGTCTCCTGACATTACACTCAACAATAATAAAACTTTACTAGCTTATTTGGCATATGCTCAAATATGAAATGCAATATCCAAATGTATGATTTGCTTTTAGTGTTCCAATTGTACGTACTCAGTATAATTGCCCTTGAATAACAGTCATAATTTCATTCACTAGGCTTTGGATTTGGAGAGAGGGGGTTTGCAATACTGTGTTCTGGTATTCTGGTATTGTTTTAAAAACTCAAGCAGCATATTACTCGCCCTGTTTATCATCCAATCAGGGCTGTGCTGAAACCTACACTCTGATTGCCCTCCTTTGGCAATGGACATGGGAGGAGATGATGCAGAGCACGTTGGGACTCAAAATTGCCTCTTAAGAACAAAGGGGCAAGAGAAAAATGGAAGTTTTTCAGGTGGAAAGAAAGAAAAAGTCATCAAGTGAGCCCATAAAAAAATTGCCACTAGTATTTCTTTAAACGGTTGAAAAGAAAGGAGGATGACTTATTTTTTAGCATTCTTCCCCAAAAAAGAAAAAAAATGACTCAATTTATCAGTACTCCATCAGTTACAAGAGAGGGCACTTTCCAGAGATTTTGTATCCCCAGCCTCTAGAACAGTGCTTGACACATAGTAGGTAGATTAGTAAATATTTGTTGAATAAAAGAATGACAATATTGATCCTAAAATACCTCTGAATCATCAAAATAAAACAAACAAAAATCCCCAAAGGTTAAATTATGCTAGGAGTGTTTTACAAATTCTGTTTTTTTAAATTAGTGGTCAGATATTGTTTATATGACGTGTTTAATTAGCCAAGGCTCATTACCTACCCCAGTCGATATGTGACATAATGGCCAGAGGGCCTGGGCGCAGGATTTCTAAAGGTCAAGGAAACTCACCCAGAACCTCCCATCTCCACCCCCACCTCCCAGTACTTGGCGCAGACAGTGTCACCTCAAAGTAGACTTTGGCAAGTAGACACTGCAGGTTCCCATCTTCCAACACTGCAAATCCTCCTGCTTTATTAACCAGATTGAAAACCCTGGGATCTTTTCCCAAGTTCATGCCTGAGAAAGTTACTTAACCTCCCAGACTCAGTTGAAGCATCTGTGAAGTGGGCATAATGATACAGCTTCTCAGTAGGGCTCCCATATGTGTCAACAAGCTACTCCACGGACAATCCCCAACGGGTCTATACAGGGCTGAGTAATTGTTAGTTGAGTCTGAATTCCTCCCAGACATTGTGCATTTCTTCTGACTCCCACTCCTCTGCCCAAATTCAAGCCAAGCTATGATGTGTTGGGAAAAACTGAAGGATAGAAGCTGCCTTGTATAGAGCTACATTTGGGCCAAGCTGAGCTCAAAGCAAAAGTGTTGTCATAGTTTCCAGATGTGTGCAATCAACAGTCACAACTAAGGGCCACCAAGAGCTCCCTTCATAGAAAACAGTGCCCTCAGCCAGAGTCAGCTCTTGGTAGGGAGGTACTTTATATTCATAATTGCAATCTGATTTAAAAAGGGAAGAGAAACTTAATTGATTGTGTGTCTAGCTTTGCGCTGGCTCCTTGCATTTGCTGTCTCATTTAATCTTTGCCATCATTTCCCATTTTGCAGATGAAAAAGAAAAGTGAGGCCTGGGAGAGGTCTGTAACATACCCAGTGGTCCCAGCCAATACATGGTGGCTCTGAAATTTAACCTTGGCCTGTCTGCGTCCAGTGCTGAGGCTTCCTCCACCACACCTTGATGCCTTCTCCAAAAGCTGAGATTGTTACCAAAACGTAGTATCACTGGGAAGTGTGGTACTAATTTTCTTTCCTACACCTAACAGTAATTAAACATCTTGCCTAGGAAGATGGATTTTGTAGGATCTCAGACAGGATTCCATTCTGAAGCGAGTCACTGAGAGAAAGAGCCAAATGCTCAGTGCTTACGTTTGTTCTTCTTCAATTCTGCTTCATTCTATTTCCTGCTTTCAGCTCCAGGCACAAGTTAGTGAGAAGCCATCTGGGCAAAGTGCTTTTGGCTGGCTTTAGTGAGAAACCATACAATGCTTGTGAAAATCAGCTTCATTGCTTTAAAGTCACTTTTCAAGTTCTAATAAGACCGACACAAAGGAAATGAGATGTCCTGGAAAATCAATGGATATGACTGGTTTTGGTTTGTTTTTGCACTTAAAATTTTTTGTACCATTATGTCCTAGGTAATAAGCTAAATCAGTTGTTGACTATCTGAGAGGCAGAGAGGAGATGGTTGTTTGAATCTGGTCGTGGAAGCTTAACAGCTGGAAAGGGGAAAAAAAGAGGTGTTGGAATTCCACAATAGGGTCTGGAGTCAGTTGAGACCAAGAGAAAGGACCCACGCAGCTTACTTATTCTAATTATTTGTTTTTCCATTTGACTTGCATGGCAAGAAAAAGGTGAGGCTCAGGAGCCTTTTAAAATTTAAGTTGCTCTCTGCAAATTCAGCAAATTCCAGGTGCCACCCAAGGCAGAAAACATGCATAATAAAGTTTCTTTTTTGCTGCCTATTTACTTTCCAACAAATGCAGAACAGAGAAATGCTTGACACTTCTACACAAGCAGGACAACAGTGCAGGTGGCGAGGGGCACAAGACTAAACTATTCTTGAAAATGTGGAGCCATTTACAAGAAATGGACGCGGCAGCAGGAGTTTACAATCCCGGTGGTCTCGGAAGGGGAATATGAAGTCCAGTCCAGTGACTCAACCCAAGTCTTTTTGGCAAGCCCAGAAACAGATTTAAGTGTCCAGCCAAGGGCTACATAATTTCTCACTCCACGAACCCCAGAAATAAAGAAATGCCCCTTTCAGATATAAAAGCAGACTATGTTTTAGAAAAGAATTTGCCAGAATCTCACACTGCTTCTCAAACTTTCACCCCAAACCTCCTCATCGCAAAGGAAATTTAAAGCACTCCCTTGGGGTTCAGGGAAACATTTGGAGGAAGCCTACAACATGCATGAAATGCCTTTATTACTATGTATTTTATCTTCTAAAAAAGTGAATTTTGCTCTCTGCCTCATAGCACATAATTTGCTGGTTCTATTATGGTTTAAATGACTGACCATCAAGCAAATTTGATTCCTTCCCAAAAATGCACTGTGCTTATTCTGTGACTTTAAGTGTACCCTGAGGACACGACCAGCAGCTAGGAGAACTTTACATGTTTTAGCAAACTCAGATGTGGGATCTAACAGAGCTTGAAGTGAAAAAACTAAAGATTGACAATGTTTTGCTCCCCTGCCAAACCAAGAGCCTCCCCACTTATACATCATTTGGATTTGGGAGTCCAAGAGGAAAGAGGAGGAAGAGAAAGTGTGAGGAGGAGAGGAAGGAAGATGGATGCTCCCCAGAGCATTTGGCAGTTGATAGGTGGAGTGAAATTAAATGCATCCAAGGAAAGAATGACTGCCCTCTCTTCCCAGAGCCCAAATCAGCCCAACTTAAACATCACTTTGTTTGAAACAAGCTGAGAAAAGACATCATCTCTGTTAATACAAACTCAAAGCAGAACCTCACAGGACTTATGATCCAGCAGTTGCACCACCTGTAAGCAGTCTGCAGAGAGCCCCCCAAGTGCAGGTATGCAACAGAAAATGCAGGACCAAGAGGCCTGGAAGTGGCTTTCTTGGATTTTTAAAACATCTTGTAGACTAAGCTACTGGTTTACTCTTTGATCCACCTTCTTCATTCTCTAAGGGCCCCAAGACTTTAGCATCCAAAGCTGACTCTGAGGCTGTTAACTGAGGAGGATTTTCTGCTCACCAGAAGGGGAAAGGTCAAAGGCCCACAGGGGTGTTAGTAACAGAATGAGCCCAGTGGGCTGCATGTTAAGGGTATATTTAGGGATTAGCAGTGACCTGGGGAGTTTGTGCCCTTTTAAAAGACATTGAAATTCAAATTAAAAGCAAAGCAAACAAAATAACTGCACAGGCCCAGGAAAACAGATCTTATGGAAAACGGGTCAGGCAGAACTTGACTTACAAGCTGCACGTTGTTCATTCAGTCCTCGTATTGGCTACTTCTTCTGCTGGGGCTCAAGTAGTAATGACACTTCTCAGAGAAAAGGACAGAGATAGAGGGAAAGTTGAATTCTAGCCCAAAGCCTGTTTATGCCTAGTTCTTTTAGTACAACATAAATATCTTTACTGGAGGATGGACCATGCTGTAAGTCCAGCCCCATACGGAAAGTGAACTACTGCACATGTAGCAATAATCTGTTTGAGTTCTCCCTTGAACCAGCTTGGAAGGAGAGGGGCCCACCCTGCCCGCCGTGTCCTGGTGTCCTTTTCCACCAGCACCCTGTGATTGGCAGTGAGGCCGATCTAGGTACAGTCCGTTAGAGGCTACCCCTGAGGGCCTCTGCGTGGCACAATGAGAGAGCAGAACAGCTGGGACTGTGACCCTTGCCCACATACGCCCCAACGGCCGTGTTTCTAGAAGTCTGCTCCCCAGCTCATTGGGAATTGGGGAAACCAAACGAAAGTGACAGTAGATGGTAGAGGAAACAGATTTTTTATGAAGAAAGAATGTGTCTTAAAAATTTCTGAGAAGTGGATTTCGAGTAAAAATCAGTACTGTGACTGCCATATACATTTTTTAAAAAGCTTCTTAACTAAATTACGGTTCTACTGCATTTCAAAGTTTAGCAGTTGTGTCAGCAAACAAAACATCAAAGGAAACCAATAGGTCATGTTAGTCTCCTCTGAAGCAGCAACTGAGGAATCCTTCTATCCACAAGTAATCATATTACAGCCCCTCCTGCTAAGCCTCTAAATGGGAAGGGGGTGCAATTAGGGCAGGGGGAGAAGGCATCTCCCTCATCCTTTCCAGCTGGCAACTGACCATCCCCATGGAGGCTTTTCATTCAGGTGTTGGTTAAACATGTTTTGAAACCCAGTGGGTTCACCACCCAGAATTGCTGGCCTTCCTACTTTCGTTCATGTTCTGCGTTTGCTACTTTGGGTCTGTGAAGGCCTTTCCAAATTCCTTTGGTTTCTGGATGTTTCTTATCTGAAATCCATCTTCTTTTGTTTTTTTCCTTTGGCACCAGTCAGGGTTCCTTTTGCCCTGAACCCTGTGCGTGGGACAAAGCTTAGAATGGAAACTGGGTCATGTACTTCTGGTATTGTTTTCAAGTGTACCTCATACAAAGCGTTTGCCTGCCAGGGTGATTTCAGGCCCCATTGCATCAGTGTGAGTCCACAGTTGGTTAATTTTAAAGCTCCCACGTCCTCTAAGAACAGATTTCATGCAGGCACTTGGAAAAATAGTATTTTAAGGGTAACAGATAGGAATGAGGCGGGGAGGGAAAGGGGGAGAAATTAGCCCTCAGATATAAACTCATACTTCAAACTCGTCTCCCAAGTTGAGTTGAAAGGATAAAGGGGGAGAATACGTATCTCACCACAGAAGTGTCTTTACGAACTTACCAAAACTCTGAGTATTTGGTGAATCCTAAGAAAGTGATAGACATTATTTAGCCTATTTCTGCTTTAAAACTGTGAACTTCCTAATTTCCCAACACAGTCAAATTTTAGAGACTAAGGCATAAGCTCTGTATTTTATGCTTACATATTGTTCAAAATAAAGGAAAGGATGCCTTGTAATTCCTGGTTCACTAAGGTTTAATTTAGAATGCACAAAAACAATTAAATTTGAATTTAGCTTAGGGGCACTCTAGAATCTTACAAGGCTAGGATCAATGTCTAGACAAATGGAATAAGGTTGAGAACATGTCCAGAAATTGTATTCCTCATCTCAGTGAAAAGCAGCTCATGGGCAGAGAGATGTCTCTGCTCTGACCAGTCATTTCCACTTCTGCTGGAGCCTATGGCAGCTCCAACAGGGAGAAGACAGACATAGTGCAGATATAGGGTACATTTTAATCTGAGATGAGCTGTCTAAATTATGTAGGTAGTATGTAAATATATAGGGGGTGCCCGTATGGCCCATGTGCACAGGTCAGCAGTATGATGGGAGGCGTGAGTGGGGCCCAGAGCCCTGGGCGCCTGCCTTTGAATGCCAGCCCCTCTCACCACTAGTTACGTGACCTGGGGCAAGCTAAGCTTCAAATTCCTATCAAGCAGGGTGGAAAAGTAGTTAGCTCATAAGGTTGCAGTGGTGATTAAATGAGTAATCCATGTAGAGTATTTAATACTATATGTGGCCTACAGTCAGCACTCAGGAAAGGAAGTGCTCTACGAGTACAAAGCACTCCTACATGCACATACTGTCTAGTTTAACGTCTTAAGAAGCCTACAATGTAGGTGTTATTAGTCCCATTTTATCAGTGAAGAACCTGAGGTCAGAGACTCTCAGCCGTTTCCCTATGCATATAGGAAGCCACAGGGCAAGGACTCAACTGTCTTCTCATCTCAACTCTGAGGCTCTTCCTTTACTGTCCCCCACTTTAGACACAAGACAGGTGAACTACTTATTTTAGACATTCTAAAGTCCCAGAGCCTATCAAAGCCTAAAGCTTTATTCAGTCAGATTTAGCGTAATGGGTAAAGCAGAGGCTTTCGAGCTCAACAAACCTGGGTTCCAGTCCTGGCTCCGGCACTTCCCCGCTGTGCTACTCTGGTCAAATTGCCCCACCTCTCTGTACCCATCTCCTCCTTCACCATAGGACACAGTTTTCCCTTTAGGTCACTGTATGCCATTTGAAGGAGCGTCCTATTCAGGCTTTGTCAAGTTTAGTCACTTATTAGCTACAAAGTTTAATTATTCAGTGGGGTGTATTTAGTGTCCTACAGGCTATTTCAATTTTCCTTAAGAATTGGTGTGATACAGTGATATAAAATAATCATGTTTGTAAAAAACATTACTATATTTGCATTGCTTCAGCTTAAAATACACTCTGCTAAGGCAAGAAAGCATGTATTTAATAAAGTATTTGGAGGGGCTGCGTTTGGATGGCAACACCACCAAATTGTTGGATCTCCTCTTTGGGGTCATTGACTGAGCCACATGGTGGTGAAATTTTGAATATGATTGTCGTGTAGACCATGGAGCTGCCAGCTACTTACTGACATCATTCTCTAAACAAATCCTTCCAGTGTGGTGTTCACAACTTATGATTATCAGACTTATCTTTTATTAGTTCCCACAATAACAGCTGCTTAAATGAAAGAGATTTCTTTCTCTCTCTTATACAGTCCAAGTTCACCTGGTTACTCAGCTACTCCCAGGGCACCAAGTTCATTCAGTATTATTGCTCTAGGCCTCCAAGGGCATTTGTCCTTGTCACACTGTCCCAGATGGCTCCACACCACATGCATCTTAGCCACCAGGAAGTGGGAGTTACTGTGCCCTTCCTGAGCACCGCTTCAGAGCCTGTCAGCCCCAACTAGCCACTTCTGTGATGCCTAGAGCCATGCAGACTTTTCTAGTTTGCATAGTTGCAACCTGGCACTGCCTCACCTTGGCCCCAGCTCCAAGCCTCTCACTTTCTGTTCTGGGGCTTCTCAGACATCACAGCAAGTGCAATCCAGTTATGTAGGAGAGTTAACACCGTGACCAATGGCAGATGAGTATCAGTGGATAGCCCCTTCTTGTGTCTCCCCATCAGAACGTCTTGTGGTGGATGGAGTACTAGTCATCTGTAATAGTGGCCAACTCGGTAACAGATTCTCGGATGGGCTCTCCCTCCTTCCTTCACACGCTCTTCCATGTCATTTCTGCTCCCTGGGATCACTCCCCAAATAAACCTGCAGTCAAGCTTTAGCTTCAGATTCTACTCTCAGGGGAACCCAGGGCAAGAGAGGGAAGCACACAAGCCATCTATGAACCAGAAGTTGCCAGCATCCCTTCTACTCACACTCTGTTGGCCACATGTAGTTGCAATAGAGGCTGAGAAGTGAATTCTTTATTCTGGGTGGCCATGCTCCCAGTTAAAAAATCTAATATTATGAAGGAAGTCTCTGCACATGATTCATGTGCATATTTCTCTTAGACAAATGTGAATTTGCACAATTAAATACATCATAGATAGACCAGAGGTTATGACCACTGAACTAAGAGACCTGAGTTTTTGCCCACAATCTTTGACTCACAGTGTATGTGAATTTAGGCAAGTTCCTTAAGTCTTCTGGGCCTAAATTTCCTCTTCTGTAAAATGGGATAGTAATAACTCCTTTCTCTGGGTGATTGTGAGAAAAATGAGATTGCAGATGAGAAAGAACTTTAAAACACATAAAAGATGATGTGACTAGAGTTTAGTATTGGTTACTGCCGAAATGTAAACAATAAACCAATGGCAGAACATTCCATTCTATTCTGTTACTATATGACCAGGCAGGTTTACCTACAGAGTAGGATCCAATTCACCCCATAGGTTGAGGAACCTGCCCAGCCCTCTCTCCCAGGAAACAGTGCTCAGTATTGGGTAAACATTTGCTGCTTAAAAGGTTGCACTGAAGTGGGTTCTTGCAGATAATCTCTCTTCATTTCATCATTATGTCCTTCTCTTTCAAAAGATTATCTATCTCTGGAATTTATCCTTTAAAAAATAATCATAAAGAGAGGAAAAGGAAAAAAGTTACCCATGATGCTTGTTGCGAGAGCCCAAGGGACGAAACAGCGCTCTCTCTCCCCATCAATAACCTGAACTTTCAAACATGTAGGAATAGTTAAGGATTCCTTCTGGACTATTTTAAGGAGCAAATTTATTAGTTCTATAGCATCTCATAATCCTGAGGTATTTAGAAAAACTACATTCTTTGGATTCTGAAACGCTGGCTGTTTCCCTGAGCTACTTCGAACAATGCAGCTTCTGCTGACGGGGCACTCCGTGGGCAGCGGTGTTGTTGAATTGTAAGTAAATAATCTTGAAACAAATCCGGGGTTGACACACTGTCATATTATGTTTACTGCTCCAGAGGAGGGATTTATTCTGAGGATATTGAAAAATTCCATTGCTGTTCGGGGGAAGTGACAATTGGGATCACCCATAAATTAAAGTGACTGCCCTCTGTATCATAGGTATGATCCAAAACATTGCACATGCACTAAAATGTCATATGCGAAATAGAACAGCGCTGGATAAAAATATACAATGTTACTAAATAAAAACAGATACTGTGGATGTGACAGATGTTTAAATTGCCAGGTTTGGCTACAGCTAGTGCTATTACTTCTTCCAGGATTAACAAACACAGGAGTCTTGTAGTGGAACAGAAAAACTCACTTCAGTTCAACTGCATCCTGCTCTGTTTTAGCATAGATTTCGTGAGGTAATTTAGGTTGCCTTTTTAAAGAAAATGATCTAATACTTAATGAGCCAGATATCTCTTTACTTGTAAGAAGGGCATTAGTATTCGAACTTTCTGAAAAGTGGAACCTTCTCTGTGGTCTCCATCCCCCCAGGCCTGGCTCACTTGGGGGTCGGCCTGGCTTTGCAAATGGTGGGTGTTGGTGAGTGTGGTCATTTAATGTGAAATAGAGACAAATACTCAGGTGAGGAAGGCATCAACCACAGTCCTTTGTTTCAGCAGAAACTTCTCTAGGCTACCTCCATCTAAATCACAGCAACCTGTAATTACAGAAAAGCACGAAGAACAAAACTAGGATTAAACTGCAGCATCCCCTTGTGCACATAATAACCTTCTTCTGATATCTTCTACAATTTTTAAAATGGCAAACATGGGCTTTTTTGAGATGACTTCCCTGTGTATAATGATGGTTATAGAGATACAGAAAGAGTTCTTCCTCAATTGTGGAATGTTCAGCAGAGGGACAGTTCAGCAGAGTGGAAAGAGCCAGAAGTGTTGTAAGTAATCGTACCACTGAGGATGATGCTATAAAACAGGGGAGGAAGGGTTCCCCTCGGCCTGTGGGTCAGCGAGAGTCTCCTGGAGGAGGCCCCACTCAAGTCCATTCTGGCAGGGGGATTTTGAATTGTCTAGGATGATGGAAGAGCAGACTTTTAGGTGAGGGAATAACACATACAAAGGAGTAGAAGCAAGAAAGGGAACAGCAAGTTCAGAGCTGCAAGTGGCCTGTCTGGTTGATGTATGTATGTGAACACGAGGGGTGGGGAGTTGGGAACAGACTGGGCCCTGTGGAGATCTGCCACATACTCGTGCATAGAAGGCATTGGAGCGGCAGGCACAAGCCTTGAAAGTCGTGGGAGTGAGAGTCAGAGTCGTGCCAACGGGATGGTCTGGTGGAGATGTGGGTTTCCCAGCCAGCTGGCTGATGGTTGGTGTAGCACACCAAGATGACCACAGCATCCCACTTGTGAGCCAGCCCAAAGGCTCAGATCCACTGCAAGACCATGAAGGTCCTCAGAGCAGCAGGAGACGGGCAGCCTCTTGCCAGCTCGTGGGATCATCCGTGGCCACCTGCCTTCATGATCTCACCAACACCCCTTTTCCCCCAGCCGGCCTGGCTGGGCCTTTTATGTCTTCATGCCTACACAGTTTATGTGTTCTAGCCAACCAGACTCTTTCCTGCATATAAAGAGCTGACAAAGACCCCTTCTGTTCCCTTTCCTTTTAAATTCTCTATATGCTTTATTCTTTATAGCAGGGAATGCTTAACATTCAGATGACCAGTAAATATTTTCTCTTATTCAGTTCTCTTCTGAGAGATTTCTCCATCACCTTCCTTCCTCCCTTTCCTCTTCCTCCCCCTCACACATACACAATAATAGGGAGGGTAATATAAATGAGCTCCCCTGTACCCATCCTCCAGCTTCAACAATTATCGACTCATGTCAATATTGTTTCAGCATCACCCCATCCTCAGGTTACTTGGAAGCTAATTCCAGAAATTTCATCTATAAAGAGTTTAGTATGTGGCAATAAGAAAGGTTTGATTCCCATGCCAATCTGATGTCCCTTCTTGGCCATATCTAAAAGCATTATTTTTCTGTTTATTGTTATCCGAGTGTTTATTCTCAGTTAGCAATTTATTGAAAGGTCATTTTCCACATAAAAATACATTATATATGCAAAATGTTTATATGACCAACAATATCAGAACTAAAAATATTAGAATAATATTAGAATAAATACCCACGTAACCATGATTGAGCTAAAGAGAGAGCAGGAGACAGAGAGAATATGACCAAGACCTTACCGTCCTTTGCTTCCTCTCCTCCTCCCCTCTAATTACCCTCTATCCCAAAATTTGGGCTAATCATTTCCCAGACACACCTCTGTGTGTGCTTGTGTATTTACCATATGTTCAGTTTTTTCACCTGTTTGTAGACTTTTCCTATAAATAGAATCACATAAATATTCTTCTGTGACTTTTTCCATCTCAACATGATGTGCTTTTTGGCTTTTGTTTTTGTTTGTTTGTTTATTTGTTTTGGTGAGGAAGATTGGCCCTGAGCTAACAGCTGTGCCAATCTTCCTCTATTTTGTATGCGGGATACTGCCACAGCTTGTCTTGATGAGTAGTGTGTAGGTCTGCGCCTGGGATCCAAACCTGCAAACCCCAGGCTGCTGAAGCAGAGTGCTCATACTTAACCACTGTGCCACTGGACCAGTCCCTCGATGTGATGTTTTTGAGATTTGTCCACGTTGATGCATGTCTAGCTGTAGATCATTCATTTTCACTGCATTATAGTATTCCGTGCTATGAATCTACTGTAATTTATTTATCCACTCTATTGTTGATTGACTTTTGGGTTGTTTAAAGTGCTTCCCCCACAAAAAAAATGCTCCTAAGAATATTATTGTACTGGTCTTCAGGGCATATGTTCAAAAATTTCTCCTAAGAATGGAACTGGTTGTCTATGCATGTCCATCTTTATTAGGTAATGCAAAATTCCTTCCTAAAGTAGTGTATCATTTTACATCCCTACCAGCTCTAGGCAATAGTTCCTACTAACACTATGTTTTGTCTGACTTTTAAATTTTTGTCTTTTGCTAGGTTTAACGTTTTTCCTCTGATTAATAATGAGCATAAGCATATTTTCATGTTTATTGGCAATTTGTGTTATCTCTTCTATGAATATCTGTATTTTTGCATGTGTTTCAGATTTTTTTTATTGGTCTTTTTCTTGATGATTCATAGGAGTTCTTTACAAATTTTGGATACTAAAATTTTATTGGTGTGTGGAATGCCTGTAAAGATGGCTGCCAGTAATTCGTCCCCTTCCTGTAGGCACGCACCTCCTTCACCAAGATCTGGGGTCTATTTCTCCTCCTCTGGGATCTGACCTGATCCCATGTCTTGCTTTGATCAATAGAATGTGGCAGCAGAGATGCTGGGTGACCTCAGGGCCTAGGGTTCATAGAGCCCTTGAAGCTTCCATTTCATCCTCTGGGAAGCCAGCTGCCATGTGAAAAGTTCTGGCTGTCCTGATGGAGAGAGAGGCCATGTGGAGAGAGACAGAGGCCCTACAGGATGAGAGACCGTAGGGAGAAAGAGAGGTCCAGGCACCCCTAGCCGTTCCAACCACCTCAGCTCATATGCTATACATATGAGTGAAGCTGTCTTGGAAGTTCTAGCCCCAGCCAAGTTCCCAGCTGGATACACGTGTGACCTCAGCTGACACCACTGGAAGCAGAAGAACTGCCCATCTGAGCTCAGCCCGAATTCCTGAACCACAGAATCATGGGCCGTAAAATAATTGTTTCCAGCCAGCAAGTTTTGGAGCAGTTTGTTACACAATAGATAGTAGAAACAAGTTACTGTGTATGTTTCTAAAAATCTTCTCCCAGTGTCTATTTTTTTTACTCTCCTTATGATATCTTTTGATTATCAGAAGTTTTAACTTATGCTGTACTTGAATTTTTCAATGTTTTCTTCTATGGTTAGTGCTTTCTATGTGTTATTTGAGAAATCTATCTCCACTTTAAGTTACTATATTTTCTACTAAAAGTTTTAAATTTTATATTTCATAAAGTTCCTTAATCTATCTTGAATGGGGTAAAGTAGGGGGTCCACTTTCATTTTTTTCTACCATATGGATGGCTGTTTCAGCATCACGTTGGATGGGCTCATCAGTTTCCCATGTATGCTGGGTCCGTGGCTGGACCCTTGATTCTGTTTGTCTGTTGCTACACCATATCTCCCTCTTTTAATTACTACAGTTGCATAATAAGTCTTGATCTCTGGTAGGGCAAATCCCTTTCTTTTATTTTTCATTAATGTCTTGACTATTTTCTTGACTGTTTGGTCTTCCATATAAATTTTAGTATCATCTTGTTAAATTCCATGATAAATCCTCTTTGGGATTTTGGTTGGATTTGCATTGACTCCATAAATCATTTGAGAGGGGGATTTATGTCTTTAAATGTTGAGTTTTTTAAATCTATAAACATTTATCTCTTCATTAAAAAAGGTGTTATTTAATGTCTTTTTTAAAATTCTTAATGAGTTTTGCTTATAAGTCTTGCAGATCTTTTGTTGGAATTATTCCTAGGTATCTTATATTTTTTGTTGCTAGTGCTAATGGTACTTTTTTCTTTTATCTGAGTATTCTAACTGCTAGTAGCTGATGAATTATTTATGAATGTCTTATTTTACTATCTTTATTAGTTTCTTTCTTCTGCTTTTTTTTCCCCCCTGCTATTCTTTTTAACTTCTTAAGCAGCGTATTTGGTTCACAGATTTTCAGTCTTTATTCTTTATTGTCATAACCATTTAGCACTATAAAATTTCTCTATTCTCCTTTACAATACTTTAATATTTAATAATTAATAATAGTTATTAATATATATTTTAAACATTTATTAATGTTAAAAATCTTTGCTTTAAAATTTTGGTGTAACAGCTTATGATACAACTTCTTGAAAGTCTGGTTCTAAGTTCATTTATTTTTATGCTTGATTTTAATGACTATCATAGCTGAAAAA